AGCATCACACCACACACACACACACAACAACACACACAACACAGGCACACACCACACACACAATTCACACACACACACACACACACACACACACACACACAGACACACACACAACACACACATCACACACACACACACACAACACACACACACACACCCATACACACCACACATACAGACACACACATCACAACATCACACACACACACACCACACACATACACCAACACAATTCACGCACACACACACACACACACACACACACACACCACACTTTGCGGCGATTTGTGAGATTCTGACACCCACACACACACCATACACTGGATGATTTTGTGCCACACACACACATCCACACACACACACACACAACACACACACACATACACACACCCACACACATCACCATAAACACACACACACACACACACACACACAACACACACCATCACGACCACACACACACACACACACACCGCACTGCCGCCTCATTAATCATGCAGGCTCCGTCGACCTCCGGCGCTCGGTCGCTGCAGCCGATCCTACACCCCGACCATACACCGAATAAAGGCCGCGAACCATTTTGCACGCGGAATTTAAGTTCGCATCGGCAGTAATACGGCATCACGGGGCATGCACCCGCGGGCGTGGGGGTGTCACATCATTATACATGCAACTCTGCACCGAACGCACTGGCGGATGGTGTGGGCGGGGTCATCAGGGTCAGCGCCTTCCCCCGGAGGGGCCGTCATGCAGGGTCATACGGCCCCCCCCCGAGTGTGTCAATCAAGGCCAATGGGCTTCCCCCCTGGGGGGAAAGGGTCATCAGGGCATGTGTCTCCTTAACCGCCGCTCCGAAATCAATAGCAGAATACAGAGTTGAAAAAAAATCGAAGAAGTCGTTCATGACGAGCGTTCAACGTCAACCGAAATTTTGCATTATTTTCTGTAGCGAAATTTTGGCTCGCGCATCGCGTCGAACACGAAAGGCCTAAAACTTGCCGTATACGCGCCTGGACCCCTGCTGAACGCAGTTTACAGCGCTACCCTCTACTTGGGGGTTGGGTTTTGTTTCTCCCCCCCCTTGCGCCCACATTCCGCATCCGCCACATGTTCAAACGCTCCCGTCTGCTGCTTTATACGTGCACCATGCCGTTCAACGGCCTAGTCCCGGAACCTCTAAAAACGAATTTTGGAAAACGTTAAGTAAAATGGAGATTTCTAATGCTCAAAAATGCCTGCTTCTTCTCGTTTTGGCTTAACGGCGATTCGGAATGTCGGGTCGACGGGGGCGGCCGCTGATGACTCCCTGCCTCTGATCAGGATTCTTAAAGCTATATTATATAATAATATATATATATAATATTAATATATATAATATAATATGCCATTTAGACTCCCTGCGCCGATCATCCGCACTGTGATCGCGATGCTATGATGTGACGCTCTGCGTACTCGGCTCCACTGTATCGGTGTAATCATGTGACGGCAGTCCATAATGGGCTGAGCCTGCGGGGGCACGGTAACAAGCTTGGGGGTGTTTATTGTGGTGCGTGTGTGTGTGTGTGCTGCGTGCGTGCGTGGCGTGCGTGCGTGCGTGTTGTGTGTGCGCCCGCAGCGCATGCCTGTGTGTGGGGGGGGGGGGTTGGTGTTGTGTGTGTGATTGTGGTTGTGTATGTGTGTGTGTGTGTGTTGTTTTGTTGGTGGTGGTTGTGTGTTGCATGTTTACAGGATTAATAGTCTAAACACAGATCCATCACGCACTGCATATGCGGTTGCGTGATCATGCTGTAAATAAAATACGAGATGATACGATGATAATAGGATATGGCACCGACATGCGCCGTACATCGTCACCTTCGAATTCCTCCCATATTCGATCGAATTACGCACACGGCCCGAGCGACTCGAATAGGCGTGCTCTGTGTGTCCGCCGTCGACATGCAAATTCAACCACCGACACGCTGTTTACATTCGAAAGATGTATGCTCCACCCTGAGAACGATCCGAGATGTCCTGGTCACTTATAAATACGACAATCATTTGCAAAAATCAGGCCGAAGGGAGTCCGACCCGCGAAAATTGTGTACAGACACATCACTCACATCGGCTTTGATACACACATGCCGCCCACCCACATACACACGCACGCACACACACCGCGCCGCGCACACACACACCACACACAACACAACACACAATACATCACACACACACACACACACACAAACACCGCACACTACAACCCGCTGCCCTGATCACTCACGCACGCACGCATGACACGCACCGACAAACACATACACACACACCACATACACACACAACACGCCTGCACACTACGCACGCACGCACAGCACGCACCAACGACACCACGCACACACACACACACACACACAATATATATACTAATAATTATCAATAACATTAATAAACGCTCTATATATAGCGATGGACATCGGGGCTGTGTCGACCGCTAAGCTATACATATACGTCGAAAATGAAGTCCAAAACGCGAGATATCTACGACAGAAATGAATATTACACATTGAACTCATATTATTATAATGGGATGAAGACGCGCGTCTTTCAACCGTCAACTCCAAGCAAATCAAAACGCTGATCATCCCTCATTAGGAGTATAATAATCGACTACCGTTGAGTAATGGCCCGACTGTAGGCTATTCCACAATTATCATTCACATTATCAGATACCATGCACGCGCGCGGTGCCATAAAAGAACAAATCATCAATTATGCAATCCTCAGTATTATACCGTATAAAACTATACACTCCCCCCGTAATTGCTTGCCATCTGATAGTACTATAATAATATTGTAATTTTTATAATATCCGTCGCATTTCGGTATAATGTGCCACGATGCGAAATAGTGCCGCACGCCAGGTCTCGGTGCGTGCCTGCGTGTGCGTACTGTTAATGTGTCCTTGAAATAAATATAATAATAGCCGCGCGCGCTGCGTGTGTGTGTGTGGTTGTTGTTGTGTGTGTGGTTTGTGTGTTGTGGTTGTGTGTGTTGTGTGTTGTTATTGGTGTGTGTGTGTTTTGTGTGTGTGTATGTGTGTGTGTTTGTGTCGTATGTGTGTGTTGTGGTGGTGTTTGTTGTATTGTCGCATTTGTGTGGGGGGGGGGGCGCTGTGTGGTCACGGGCCAGGTGGGCGATCATCTCCGCGACACATCCGCTGTCATTGACACTACGGATATTCTCAACCGCAAATTCCGTGCATAAACGCCAGTATGTCCTGCATTCGATTCCCGTACCATGCCCGCTTGCACACACACACACACACACACACACACACACATCAACACACACACACACACACACACACACACCAAACACACCACAAAACACGCACATACACACACACACAACACAAAAAAACCAACAACCACACAAACACTCACAATATACCACACACACACAAACACACACACATCACACACACACACACACACACACATACAAACAACGACAACCTCTTTCACACACACACAAACACGCACACACACACACACACACACACACACACACACACACACACATAACGTTACAGGCCTCACAGCAGCTGCGTGTAACGCTCCCGGGTACATCAACTCGCGTCATTAGCCCGACCGGCCCCCTCAGATAAATTAGGTGTCTACACAGAGATGTTTGCCACTCGCCACGACCCAACGCATAGTCAGTCAAAGTCCGACAAGAAACGGCATCAGACAAACGGGAAGTTTACCACACAACGCCGACCGCTGTTTCAGTCAATTTCTCCGTATTTTCTGCAACATTGGAGCGGGCAACAGTGCGAGATTGACGGTAAGGCCCAAAACACTCCCGTCATTACCGTAACGTTACACGCCGCCGTCAGAAATATTTCGAGCCCGCCCAACGCTGTAATCCGCATTCCAACAAATGAGCCACATGCGCACATATGCGCTATATATATATATATATATATATATATTTGTATCTACGTTAATCCGCCGCCGGTGCGGATTTATGCCTATAGTCCCTCTCGCCAGTGTCGTACCATGTTCCGCTGGTGCTTCATTGTACGCCTGCGAGTCTCAGCGTCGCCTGCTTTTCCCGCTCATACGTTTGCTTTCGTTTCGTCGGCGCGTCGACAAATGTGCCGCGAACAAAGAAAGCCCCGATGGAAATAGACGTGGGCGCCTACACTAGGCGTTTACGGACGCGCGCAAAAATGCGCCGTCTGCGAATTTTTTGGGGTTGGATGCAGAGAGCGATGAGGTTTCCACGAGGTTCCGTCGCCCCACACCCCGTCCCCGCCCTCGCCCCCGGTTTCATTATGACTATCAATGGCTCCGACCCAGTTTTCTCGATCGAGCACCGTGAGTTTTTTTTATATATATTCGCTTTGTGGTTTATTTGTTTCGAGGCGGCCGCGTTCTAAAGTTTGCATGAGCTATGAGGCACCCATCAGGCTCGAGCGAAGTGAAAATCATAGCGTCATTGTGCCTATATGGAGTTCCCGGATCGCTCTGAAAAGCTGTATAGTCGAACGTGTCGACGACACGAAGTAGTTAATGTGCGAACTATTTCTAAAGGAGAGCGAAATAGGCCAGACAGCTTCGTAGTTATGGCATATGCCTTTATACTTGCGACGCGATACGCGAATCAATTATAACAACATCATCAACTTTTTGTTCTCATCTTTTTCGGTAAAAATAACATCAAAACAACACCAACATCATCACAAATACCACCACCACCACCACCACCACCACCACCACCACCACCACCACCACCACCACCACCACCAACAACAACAACAACAACAACAACAACAACAACAACAACAGCAGCAACAACAACAACATCTTGTTTGACGCCAAGAAAACCCCCAATACTAACATTATTACCCACAACAAGCAACAACATCAGCAGCACCTAAAACAAAACTCAAACCGTATAAACCGAGGAAGATGCTACAGGGCAAATAGGAACCAATATATTATAACTACACTTACGCAGAGTCTATGCTTATAAACGACGGCGTTCTTCACGGCCTGGTAATATTCTCCACTACTCCATACCGCTCGGCAACTCTCTTCTTCTCCTCGTTTTTCTCTTCCTTCTCCGCCTCCTCCGCGATCGGTTATGCCAAAACGACTGTCAGTGCTTTTTCTCCGTAAATGCCGCACACAGAAGAAGAACGGCGGCCTTCCGTGTTTATATCTGTATATACGTGCAGCTTGCCGCGCGCAGGCAGCAGGCAGCGGTTCGTGACTCGAGCCGACTCGGTCGAGATCTGTCTAGAAGAAAAGCCTATCGCCCAGCACCGCTCCGGCTGTTCTCGCCGAAATCTGCTCCCCCCCCCCTCTTCACCCCGAGGCGTGGCGGAGGTGCTGCCCTCTCTGTGCACGATTAGAATGCCGCTATTGAAACACTATACGGGGCCATTCATCCCGCAACAGACGTGGCGAGTTACTTTTCATTTCAGCGAATGGAGGGGTACGACTCTCGACGATGAATGGGAGGGAATCAGAGCTAGTCAGATGGTCGTGAAAGGGTGCATGCACGTTTGTTTCTTATCGCTAGCGCGTAGAGTGGTCAACGGGATGCATGCACGAGGCGATCATGGAAATAGGATGGAGGGGCGAAATATCGAGACAAAGAGAGCGAGTGCGAGAATGGGAGAGAGGGATAGAGATAGCGAGCGCGAGATAGAGCGAGAGAGTGAGCATTATGAGAGAAATCTGTGGCGAGAGTAAGAGATAGAAAGAGAGAAAAAAAGAGGAGGAGACAGAGAGAGAGAGAGAGGGGGGAGAAAGAAAGACAGAGTGTGTGAGACAGAGAGAGAGAGGGGGGAGTGAGAGTGAGAGAATGACACACAGAGGGGAACATGGCAAAGAAGGAAAAGCCAATAAAGACCGAAAAATGCAGAACATTAGCTGGCCAACTTTCAAGAAGGGGGAATTAGATCGTAGCTGACAAACGTTGAAACATCGCCGGCGTTCGCAACACACCCGTTCACGTAGACACAGATGCGTGCACCCGCAGCAGCCGCACCACCACCACCACCACCGCCGCCGCCACCACCACCACCACTACCACCATCACCACCACCACTGCCGCCGCCGCCGCCACCACCACCGCCACCACCACTACCACCACGACAACCACCACCACCACAACCGCCGCCACCACCACCACCACTGCCGCCGCCACAGCCACCACCACAGCCACCACCACTACCACCACGACAACCACCACCACCACCACTACCACCATCACCACCACCACTGCCGCCGCCGCCGCCACCACCACCGCCACCACCACTACCACCACGACAACCACCACCACCACCACTA